TGCGCGGGTGCCCGAGAGCCGGGGAGCCGCGCGGGGAGCAGCGGCCGAAGCCGGGGCCGGTGGGAGGCCCCGTCCCGACACCCGCGGGGGTTTGCCTCCCCCACCTGAAATGCGGTCGTTCACCCCTCGCCTCGCCTCGCATGCCCTCAACCGCTGGTGCTTCGGCAAAGTGTTCACACCTGCAGATCAACGTGCTGCAAAACTAGCCTGCATCTGAAGAAACATTTCCAACTTGCACATTCACATAGCTGGGGGACTCTGGTGAATCCCAAGGCAATATCAGTGATCCTTCCTTCCCTTTCCTTTCATATTCTGCCAATTATTTTTCCAAAACAGCAGGAGGTCTGGAGTTCAACTGTATTCCTCTGCTGGCGACAGAAAAGAGTACAAGTTTTATAACAAGTGATTATGAGCAATTCACAGTAATTGCAATTAGCCAAAGTCAACACGAAAAAACTGCTGTATAACCTAGTAGAGAGAAGATTATGTTGCAAGAACCTAAAATGCATGACTGGAAATTTATTGCCTGGCTCGCAGTGGATTTTCTCTAAGCTGTCTCGTTCCCTGGATAAACAAATTAGGGAACAGAACTCATTCTAGTCAGTTCTTCTAGGCGTCATATACGAGCTATTCTGAAAGCAAGACTACATCTTCCAGCAGAACTTTTTTAATGTAATGTCATAATTAAAAGCAACTCCCCCAAAACTTGGAAATAATGCCTAAGGGAGGAGAAAGGAAAGATTTATACTCCAGAGATGTCAAATCACAGTAAGATGATTACCCTAGCAGGGTTTTTCGTTCCCGCTTTACTGTAATTTTCCAATTCTGAAAGCAAAGGGGAATATTCTTATTACCCTGATGCCTGATGTAAAGTTCCGTAGAACTGGAGAGAATTAAAGACCTCAGAAAACACATCCATGTTCTTCTTAGTGGAGTAGAAAGACACATTACGTCCAGACCCAAACTATCTTTCCCGTGAATACACTTTGCTGCAATCACACTTCCGAGTTCTCACAGCAAAAAAATCCTAATTTGTTTCAAAGATCCCAATATACACATAAATCCATGCAACTCTGCCTACTGCGTGCCTCCCTCCTGTGTATACACTCTACAAGTATACCTAGACATGTGTATACATATATATGCATGTCCATATAGCGCATGCAAACTTCTGCATACATACAGATAGATACAGAGGCATACGCAAACGCGTTGTGTTGTATATGTTTGTCTGTCTTTCTGCGGAAGACTGTAGGCTTCTCTCCGCAGCCGCACAGACTGCGTGTATATCTGCATCCATACGTACATGGGGATGCCCGCGCTGCCGACCACCCCGGCATCGGAAGCAGCTCACACCTCGCTACCTCCGTCTGAAGAGGGCTCCTCCAGCGCCCTGGGCGCCCCATTTGGCAAGTGAGTGTGGGGTTTGGGGCGGGG